TGTAGCCTTTCCATTCTTCTGTTATTTGGAGTGTCTTCATTTGTTTTTTGCTAAGGCAATCAATTTCCTTCTTTACATTTCTTCAGAGAAGGCTGCTGCCCCAGGATGTGGAGAGAATAGTGTTCTAAAACATTTTCTATTCTTCTGAAGAAGATAATATAGCTATACAGAGGGCTATTGTTAACATTTACATTTTAATTAATTATTAATAAAGTTGTCTTACCTTTAAATTGTCTTGAGATTTTATAGATTACTACAGACATGTTGGAGAGCTCTAGATATTTTGAAAACCGTATTCTCTGCTTTCTTTTCCATTTGAAAAATATTTCAGAGTACATGCCTGCAAGAGGCCAGATCAGACAGACTTCAAAGAGTTTGCCTAACCACTACTACCCTATAGCAACCCAGGGACTAATTGCATCATATCTATGACAATAGTAATAATAATAGTTTCTATAACTGTGTTAAATGTGTGCATATCAACACAAAGCAAAATTCTTTTTAAAAATAATTTACAGTTAAGAGTATTAAAACTCAGACACATCAAGTAATTTACTCAAAGTTTCAAAACTAGTAAGAGGCAAAGCTAGAATTTGATTCCAGGCCCAAGCCTATGTATTGTTCTACTATGCTGCTTATAATTTAATAAAAAAAGCTAAACAAATCCCAAAGGCAAGTGCTTGTAAACAAAATCCGTAATGGTAATGATGGTCCCAGTGAATAGCTAAGTACTAAGTGTCAAGTACAATTCAGAGTTTTGTATGAAATCATTAAATTAAATCATTTAATCCTCATAGCAACTGATGAGATAGAACTATTATTATTCCCAGATGAGGAAACTGAGGGATACCGAGGAAATCTAGTTCCAGAGGCCATGCGTTTAACCATTATGCTATACTGCTTCTTAAGCAATGTACAAAAACTATACAGCACAATTTCTAAATGGTGGCATGGAACTTAATCACATTCAACAAGTAGAGAAAACCATCAGTAATTTTCAGTCTTACTGACCTATATGCTATACAAAGATTTCAGCAGCTTTAAATAAAGTTCTGCATATGTGGGTATCCACTTCAGGAACTAACTTTAGACCCTGTCCACTCTATGCCCTTCTATAAGGAAGCAGAAAAATACCCTCATTTGGTTCAATCCATGTGTGCAGATAAGGGGAGGAGTCATACATAAGGGAGGGAAAGAGAACTGAGGGAAGAGAAGGAGACATGGTTCCATGAAGGCACACTCAGGAAATAAGCCAGTTAATTTGAGAGGAGAGGTTGATCAAGAATCACTTTCCTTAGAAAGAAGAGTAAACTCATTACAGTGGGAGGACAGTACTATCTCAGGAGCCCTATACTTATCTTATTGCACACTATTTAGCCACACCGTGACACTAGAACAGATCTCCTCATACAGCTTTGGTTTTTAAAGAAATATTTGCTCAGCACATAACTCAGCTTCCAAATAATATCCTACCCTTAGTGCCAGCACACACCCAAATATGATGATTCCAAAGCACTTTGCACTTCAGTGCAAAGAATGATAAACTTGTCCCTCCCCTGACTTGTTCCTAAGTTTGGACCTTCTGGGTACTCAGGGGCAAGACTGAGTACAATAAACATGTTTGGCCAGGTGCAGTGGCTCCCAGCACTTGGGGAGACCGAGGCAGGCTGATTGCTTGAGCCCAGAAGTTTGAGACTAGCATGGCCAACATGTGAAACCCTGTCTCTACAATTAGCTGTACATGTTGGTGCATGCCTGTGGTCCTAGCTACTTGGGAGGCTGAGGTGTGACAATCACCTGAACACTGGAGGTGGAGGCTGCAGTGAGCTGAGATGGTGCCGCCGCACTCCAGCCTAGGCAACAGAGACTCTGCCTCAAAAAAAACAAAACAAAACAAAACAAAACAAAAAAAAAACACCGTAAAACAAAAAACCAACCACGTGTAGATATGATTACAGGTTCATGCAGTACCCACTGCTCTTCTTGCCTGTCCAGCCTGCAGGCTTCAGATTTCCAAGACAGTACGTTCTAAAGGAATTCATTCCAGGTGATGCTCTTGCTATATGGGTTCCCAGTTCTTCTTTTCCAATTCTTTTGAAGAAAAGGTTTCAGGGAAGGGAGCAGGGGAAGGCAGAAGGGAGATTCTAGGGGGACTCCTGAACAGACAGTCATAAGGAAGGCAGGAGGCAGTGAGAATATCTGCCTCTTTCTCTTCTGACCCTTACTGCCCTTTCCCTGGGCACTCACTTTTTCTGGCTGCATACTTGTTTGGGCAGTATCCAGCTGAACTATCCATTCAGCAAGGAGACAGTCTTGAGTCAATTCTAAGCCAATGTGTTAAAATTAGCGATGACCTGAAAAGCATTCTGTTTATTTCAATACTGGCATTAAATTAGAGAGGCAGCCCACAGGGTTCAAGACAGAAAGGTACTGCACTTAATCTCCAAGAACCTCACACTCCCTAGGAAAGCAGTTTGAGACCTAGATCTTACTTAATATACAGGCTTCCTTCTCCCCCAGTAATTGCCTTTTTAAAAATTCAGAGTGAATATTGTGGGCACATGGAGAAAACCTGCACCTGGCACCTTCTTTGTCCCTATCAGCATTGGATTGATTATGGAGCTGCTTAGGATGTTAATAAATATTTGGTTTTAGCCAACAGTGTTTAGGCAACCTAGGGTTGTTTTCCTCCCAGGGAATGACGTAGGGAGTGACCATGATATTGCTGGCCAACGCAATATCATACTTTTAAATCAAATTCCACAAGGCCCCTCTCAGCAGTTGCCCCTGCTTTTGGAAACACTGAAAGTTCATTGTCATTTGACCTTCAGTGTTGAACTTGCAATGCTTAAAGTGTTATTAGTGAAACACTGTGGACAGTTACCTTTAAAACTAGAGGCAATGTTTCTGAAAGAAGTAGATGACACAAAAAGTTGACAGATGTTACAGAAAGTTCTTTTGCTTGTGTTTATTACTCTGAATGAAAATTCATTTTGAGATTTATAGTATTATCCAATGAATAGACGCTGTGATATTGTTTCCTTCTGAAACGTCAAGAGAATTGACTCTTTCTTCTACCGTTTGTTGAAGGCTCAGTAAGTGCAAGAAACGTAGGGAGACTTACAGGTCCCTAGCCAAAAGAAGCAACATGGCCAACAAGCATATAAAATACTCAGCATCACTAGAGAAATGCAAATCAAAACTACAATGAGATACCATCTGATACCAGTCAGAATGGCGTTATTAAAAAGTCAAGAAGTAATCGATGCTGGTGAGGTTGTGGAGAAAAGGGAATGCTTATACAATGCTAGTGGGAACGTAAATTAGTTCAGTAACTGTGGAAAGCAGTATAGCGATTTCTCAAAGAACTTTAAACAGAATTACCATTCGACCCATTAATACCAGTATTGGGTCTATACCCAAAAGAATATAAATCGTTCTACCATAAAGACACATGTACATGTATGTTCATGGCAGCACTATTCACAATTGTAAAGACATGGAATCAACCTAACTGCCCATTACCAGCAGACTGCATAAAGAAAATATGGTACATATACACCACAGAATACTATGCAGCCATAAAAAAGAAAGAGATCATGTCTTCTGTAGCAATATGGATGGAAGTGGAGGGCATTATCCTAAGTGAACTAATTCGAAAGAGAAAACGAAATATCGCATGTTCTGCCTTATAAATGGGAGCTAAACCTTGAGAACACATGGACACAAAGAAGAGAAAAACGACCTACTTGGGGGTAGAGGGTGGGAGGAGGGAGAGGATCAGAAAAAAAAAAAAAAACACCTGCCAAGAAGTATACTTATTATCTGGGTGACAAAATAATTTGTACACCAACCCCCCCCCCGCCATGATACACAATTTACCTATAAAACAAACTTGTACATGTACCCCTGAACCTAAAAGTTAAAAAAAAAGTTTGCTGTCTACAAAGGGTGTAGCAGATATGCAATGACAATAGCTGACATTTAGAGAGTGCTTCTAATATGCAACTAACCACTTCGTATATGTATTAACTCACAAAATCCTCACAACAACCCTGAGGAAAATACTGTTACTTCCACAAAGCAGGAACCTCCACAGAGAGGTTAAAATAACTTGACTAAACCTGCCCAAGTTCGTAAGCGGCAGCCAGAATCTAAACCTAGATGGTCTGGTCCTGGAGCTAGGTTCTTAACCACAAAGGCATTTTCTAACATTGTTAAAATACAGCAGCACAGGAAAGAGACATTTTGACCGGATTAAGGGTTGAGAGAAGGCTTCATGGATGAAATGGCATTCACTCTGGATCTTGAAGGTCAACAGATGGAGAAGGGTTCTGGGGAGGAAGGACTCTAACGGGGAAGGAACAGCCTGACGAAGAGGCACTTTGGGTACCAGCCAGCTGTCGACAGCAAGATCGGGTCCGGTGCGAGCAGGAGGAAGCGGGGCAGGGACGCCGCGCCCAGATCCCGAAGGTCCTTGAGAACCAGGCCTCTCTGCAAGGAACCGGGAAGCAAAATCTCAAACTATTAATAGAAGAGCGGCAGAAAGAAACTCGTGGGCACCCCTCCCTGTTGGCAGGCCCTTCCCTGCCAGAGACCAAGGCTGGCAGCACAGCCGCATTTCCCTCAGGGGGAAACAGCCGACCAGGTGATCAAGGTCGCCAGCGCAGGCTCCGGAGCTGCACGTCCCGGCCGAACACTCGCGTCCCGAGCACAGACGCTGGGGATTTGGCTGCCAGCCCGGGGCCGCCAGGTCGAGCCTGGCAGCGTCAACATCTGCTCGGCGGGAACACGAAGACCTGTCCTTGGGAACCGCCGCCGGCCACCTCCCCGAATCCTCTGGACCCGCGAAGGTCAAAGAGGCGGCCTCTCGGGGACTACCCCGGCTCGTTCGGCTACTCCCCTCAGTCGGGAGACCCAAGGTGTAATAGCCTCTGCGATAGGAGAACGCTGTGCCAATCAACCGTAGTCCCCGCCCACACCGCAGCCGGCGTAAATTGCATTGGTTGCATCCTTCACGGCCGCCGATAAGATTGTTTCCTTGGATTGGCTAATAGCTTTCCCTCCCTCCTGTCGCTTCTTCGTCAGAAGCTGACGATTGGTTAATCTCGTTGCCAAGCTCTGGACGCGGCTCGACCATTGGAGGCCGCGGGCCCGCCCCTCCGGCTAGGTGAAGGTGAGAGTCTCCTCCAGTCGCAGAGGCCAGACCTGACCGGGCAGCTCTGGGTTCGCGGTGAAGCCTCTCGATTTCCTGCTCTCTCGATATGGCGTCTCCGTCAGTCTTTGCCGAGGTTCCGCAGGCCCAGCCTGTCTTGGTCTTCAAGCTCACTGCCGACTTCAGGGAGGATCCGGACCCCCGCAAGGTCAACCTGGGAGTGGGAGGTAAGGACGCAGTGCCCTGGAGTGTGAGGAGCTCGGGAAGTGGAGCGGACCCAACGAGGGTCGTGGAGACTGGGGGAGAAGCTGAGGCCCAGCGTGGCGCTGCCTAGGGAGGGCGGTGCGGGAGAGGAGGGAGGATCCTCAAAGGCTTCCTAAAACTTGCCCATTTTATAGATGTGGATGTGGAGTCCCTGGAAGGAGGGGATGTGTCCAAGGCCGCACAAACCAGGGTAGCAGCCAAGACACAAACTCAGTCTTTCTGATTTCCCATTCTGTGTTCTTTATACTATATCCTCCGAAGAAATGGAGCTGCCGGAGCTTAGAGAGAGAGGGAGAAAAATAGGAAGCCTGATAGGTTTAGGGTTCTGGTTGCTGGGAAAGGAAGCTCTGTTCTGGATCGGTAAATATTTGAATGACCACCGAGTATCAATCAGGTACTTATTAAGCTTTGGTCGGAGGAGACTGAGGCTTGATTTTGCCCTTAAGGATTAAAAAATCTGCCGGTGTTACACAATGCTTTGAGACAGGTTAATGCTGCCCCCGGCGTGGCGCGGGGCTGGGTGGGGTGGGGGGCAGTCTGGGAAGATGGTTCTGGGCCTCACAGATGTAGTAGGAATGGGTAGAGATGGTGGAAAGGAGTGGAGAGAAATACGGATAGTAGAAGCTTACTTTCCACGCATCCTGTCTTCATTTCTTAATTGAAGTGATTCCCAACTGGACCTTGTACAGCTCAGAGCATGTGCTTCAGTTTCCCCTTCTGATAAGAAGATTTGTATCGGAGTGCCTCTTAAATTTCACCCCAACCCTCTCTGATGAATTTATTATTCCTCTCACTGTCATTTGGATGTCTGAAGCCCCACAGACACTTTCTCCATTTGGATTTTGCCACGTTCAAAGACCAGCCAGAGGCATGACAACGGGTAGGATGAAGTCTTATGCTGGGGAACAGACTTAGAATAAAAGGTCTAGAAATTGTGGAAAGAGAAGATGGAATCATTTTGTAGCAGAGTGTGACAGGAAGGACGTTCAGTATCAGGTTTCTCATAGATAATGTTTTGTCTGTGCATTTGTTAATAAAAAAAAAAAAGTCTCCACTAAGGAGTATGGGGAAGGGTAAGGAAAAATCTATTAAAAAGTGATGGTTTGTTGAAGTTGGTAATTTGTTGAAGCTGGGTGATGGGTACATGGGCATATGTTATATTATTCTCAGCTTTTGTATAGGTTTGAAATTTTTCATAATAAAGCTCTTAAAATAAGTCAGTACTACATAGTTTGACCCACTGAGGGAAAAGGATGTTTTTAGCAGGCAGCAGAGTCAGAAATATTGAAAGATTACCTCAAATTGAATTTGAATGGACGCCATTCGGTCTCTAAATTTAAATACAGTCCAAAACCTCCAAGTGTTTCTTTGCAGCCAGATATATACAAAGAACTAGTATCACTGTCAATCTAAATACATCTTTTTAAAACATCAGATTTGGCGGGGCATGGTGGCTCAAACCTGTAATCCCAGTACTTAGGGAGGCCACGGTGGGTGGATCACCTGAAGTTAGGAGTTTGAGACCAGCTTGGCTTACATGGTGAAACCCCATCCTTTACTAAAAATACAAAAATTAGCCAGGCATGGTGGTGTCCCAGCTACTCGGGAGGCTGAGGCAGGGGAATCGCTTGAACCTGGGAGGCGGCGGTTGCAGTGAGCCAAGATCACGTCATTGCACTCCATCCTGGGTAACAGAGTGAGACTCAGTCTCAAGAAAAAAAGAAGGAGGAAAAAAACAACCAAAAACACGTCAGATTTAATTAACTCAATTACCTTTGAACTATCTTAGAGTTTCTGTGAGGATTAAGTACATTTGAAGTGTTTAGAGCTGTGTCTGGCACATAAGTAGGATTTATATAAGTGTTTTGTTGTTTTGGCATTTCTTGGAGTCATTCTCATAAAAGATGTTGAATAAAAATTGGAAGCTCAAGAACTGCAAAATGAACTAATTTATGACACTGGTTTAGAAATAAACTGCTCATGCAGAGAAAAAGCACCCTGATAGCAGAGGCCAGAAGCGATGGACTGGGATGGAGTCATTAGCTCAGATAGCCACCTCAGCTGTGATGGTGCCTTTTTCTGTTTTTCAGGAACTCTAGCTCCTTACCATGAGCAAATGGTTTATACATGTAATCTCATTTAATGCTCACAACTCTGGAGGGTGGTTTATTACTATTAACTGTTGAGAGGCAAGGAAGCTGAAGACTGGAGAGATGAAGCAATTTGCCCTAGGTCATTTGACCACTAGGTGGTAGAGCTGGCAATCCAGGCCAGGTCTCTCAGGCCTCAGGGTCTCGCCCATGCCTCTATTTTAGGTACCTTCAGGTGATCTAGGGACAGCCAGTACACTGTAGTGGGAAGAGCCAAGAGACCTGGGTACAGGCCCAGCACTGTGGTCCAGCGATGTGAACTTGGAAGGGTTATTTAACATCCTGGGGGCTCAGTCTGTTAAATGAGGAGCCAAGACCTCTCTCTCAAATTCTGCCCTAAAATTCTACTCTACTAAAAGTCTACTCCACAATTCACTAGCACATTCTATGACTATAATGTAGGGTAATAATTTTACTGGTCTCATCAGTTGTCTGAGGGTTAAATGAATAATTATTTGCGAAATGTGATATGTCAATGAAAAATGTTATATATAAATGTTATTTCTGATCATCACTGTGACCCATCTTTTTGTGGATAGCAGGTGTTTGAATAAGGGTCTAGAGTAGAATAAAAGATCTCCTTCCAGCTGTTATATGTCCCAACCTGATTTATACACATCCCCAAATATACCTTTTGTGAAGAAAATGTAGTTAATCACTGACCTTAGGGAAGATACTTTTTCCCCCAAGTTAAGAAAAATCCTAATGGAGGTTATCTCGTTAATGTTCTGGTGATTTTGGACACATTTAGAATAAACTGCAACTGTAATCTTAGATAGTTCCTACTTGCAGCTAGTTTCCCCAGAGGTTTTCTTCTTGTGGTGATGATTTAAATAATTTCCTTAGAGGTAAACGGGAGAGTATCATATTTTCCACTGCTAAGCACAATGCTTTCAAAGTTGATCATTTTAGTGCTTCTCAAAGCTTCAGACAGAAGTGGCTTTAAGGACATAGGAGATGGATCCAACCTGATGCAACCTGTAGCAAGAAGTTTCTTCAAAGACTCCAGTCCATTTTTTCATGTGAGCCTAGTTTTCTTTTTCCCCAGATAAACTCTGTTAGCTTTAATATTTGTTATTGTTTTCAACATGGTTTCCTAGCATCTTCAAATAAAGTTGTTGGAAAGATACGCTTTATCAGGTGTTTCTGAGTACCCCTGGCCGTCTCCCCAGTATCCTAGTTAGGCTCTGAAGTGGGGATGGGTGAGGGAAGTGGAGATCTTAGGAGGAAGATGAGGGTGATGGTATGACCATTTAAATTTCTGTGTTCTTTCTTCCTTTTCTTCTGCAAAGCAAGACTGTGGGGCCCACCTGTAGACAGTGTGTGACTCCCCTAGAAGGGCTTGTACCCAGGAAGAAGAGCAGTGCCACAATGGAGCTGGGGAGCATGCTGATAAAAAGGCAGTCCCAGGGGTCTGCTTAATTCAGGCTTTCTCTAGACATCTCTTGCTTTTAAAAAAAAGCACCTGGATCTGTGAACTTAATAGTTGACAAGCCTAGCTCTTGTTATCTTTGTGATCTTGGGCAAATGATTTGACTTTCCTGGCCACAGTGGTCAGATCCTTAAAATAGACATCACAATTCTATTTTGTGGGTTGTTATACAAATTAAATGAGAGTAAAGAAATGTATTTAGCACAGTACCTTGTATGTACAAAGTATTCAGTAAATACTTGTTGTTATTACTATGGCCTCAGGTTCTGTCAATGTCCTTCTCTATGTCCCAGACCCCATGTCTGAATGACAGGCCCGTAGTGGACACATCCTTCGACTCCCTCAAATTTAGCACGTTCAAAGCACAACTCATCGTTTCCACCTTCCCCTTGATCTTTTCTTTTCATTTCCCTTGTGTTCTAGATCTTGGTTGACCCCATCACCACCACCCACTCATTATCCAGACTTGAGGGAGACCTTGGAGTTATCAGCAACCCTTTCCCCAATCCCCTGTCTATGTGGTCAATAGGTTCTGTCTTTTCTACCTCAAATCTGTTTCCAGTGGCACCCCTTTTCTTTATCCCTGCTGCCATTGCCTGAATTCAAGGCTTCATTATTTCCTTTCTGGAATATTGCAGTAGCCTTCTACTGCTTCTGCTTCTAGTAACTCACCCTTCTTAACTACTGCCTTTGCCCTTCTCTCCAGTTTATTTTCTGTGCTGTCACTCAGATGATCCTGTTAAAATGTGCAGCCGTTCATGTCACTCTGTTGCTTAAATGCTTTCAGTGGTTACCCATTGAAACTGAAGTTCCTTAGAAGAGACTCTAGGATTCTTTTAGCCACTCCCTGCTAATCTTTAAGGAATTCCACATCAGAGCCATGAAAATGCAGATTCTCAAAGACGTCATGCTCCCCAGGCCTCTGGGGCCTTGCACGGGTATGCCCTCTGGCATGTCCTTCTCTCCTTTGCCTTTTAAACTCTTATTCATCTTTCATACTTCATCCTCTGTAAAATCTTCCCTGACCCCTCAGAGTAGAATTAAAAGCTCTATCTATTTTTTATGTTTCTTGGAGGGCAGATAGGATCTTATTTTATCAATCTCTGTCGCTTCTACTAGCCAGTGCTAGCCTAATAATATTATAGAACAGATAGAACACCCAGACACAGAACTGAAACATAACAGAACTGGTTTTTCTATAAGCATCCAAGTTTTTCTACATCTAAATAGTATCCTTTATAGGTAGTTCATATATGCTTTTCTTGTTCAAAGGTTTCTGGAAGCCTCTTTTCGACTGGCTGTGGAAGCATGGTAGGACCCACACAAGAGACCATTTTAAAAAATAATTGTTCTCCATGAGTTTTACTCAGTTTATTCACTCACTCTCTTCAATGGAGATGATGCAAATACTATTTCTGAAAAATAAATTGACTTTCGAAAGACAAAGATTTGGTGCTACTGAGGATATTCAAAATAAAGAGATGTTTCCTCTAAAAACAATTCCAAAAGAAGTTTCAAGAATATTTTGAACAATGGTAGCATTGTGATCATAGATAGTTTGATGTCCTTTAGGGACAACTCTTACTTGAAAGTAGTTATTTTGGTACATCTTTAGAAAAACCAGACCAAACCCCAGTTGGCAAAGGAGGCTTTTTGAACTTGTTGAGAAGTTTGGTGGACTAAGGAGTATACTATGAATGGCATGGAGAGTATTGTGAGTTTGGCCAGGCGTGGTGGCTCAGGCCTGTTATCCCAGCACTTTGGAAGTCTGAGGCTGGAGGATTGCTTCAGCCCAGGAGTTTGAGATGAGCCTAGGCAACGAAGTGAGGCCCTGTCTCTATACAATGTATATATTAGCTTGCCATGGTGGCGAATGACTCAGCCACATGGAAAGCTGAGGCAAGAGGATTGCTTGAGCCCAGGGGGTTGAAGCCGCAGTGAGCTGTGTTCATGCCACTGCACTCTAGCCTGGGCAACAGAGTGAGACCCTGTCTCAAAAAAAAAAAAAAAAAAATACTGTGAGTTAGATTCACCAGAGCCGGAGGGTAGACTATGAGTGGTATGAGAGTATTGTTTGATTCACCTACCCAGAGGCATTGGGTTAGTGGCTTTGTCAGTCTGTAGCTGTCCACATTTCTGTTCCTAGCTTGAAATGTTTCTCAGATTTGCAGATGACACATTCCTAGAGGGTAGAGTTAGCTGATAGAAGACAGACACAAGATTCAAAATGATCTTATAAAATCTTTTATTTGCTGTATATCCTGCGACCTAATAAATTAACATTTAGATATTTTTCCTAAGAAAACACTCATGAATATGCATAATATGAGCATTTATCATGATGTTTATAATAGCAAATAATTTAAAACAATGCAGTTAATAAATTATATATATAAAAAAACTAACCACTAAAATGATATTGTAAATGGCTCATATGTATGAAGAATACCCAGTTGCCTTCATAATAAGAGAAATGCAAATTAAAACTACTTGCTATATTATCATATTGGCAAAAATTCACTGAGTGGGTAAGGCTGTATGGAAACAAATACTCTTATACAGTGCTGGTGCGAATGTAAATTGATATCATTCCTATATCAATTCAATTTGGAAATATTTATCAAAACTACAAAAACACATAATTCTTAGCCCACTTTTTTGTTTTCCACCTGGCATCTTACAGATATATTTGCATACATGTGAGATGATGTATGCAGGGTTGTTCACTGAGTATTGTTTTAATAGCCAAAGATTGTAAACAACTCAAATGTCCATCAACAGGAGACTGGCAAAGTAAAATCTGGTACATTCATCAGTTAAGCAGCTGTAAAAAACAACAAAGACACTCTATGCACAAATGTAAAATGATCTTCAAGTGGAAAAAGCAAGGAACACAAAACAGTGTATGGTATGTTTTATGCTACCTTATGTGTAAAAGGGCATATGTAAGAAGCTGTGTTTGCTTGTGTAGGCATAGGGAAATGCTGGAAGGATATGTAAGAAACAAACAGTTGTTATTTATGGAGAGAGAGGGATTTGGGAACTAGGTAGATAGAGGATAAGAATGGTATAGGGACCTGCAAACGTGTCACCTATTAGAAGAATAATTGATGATGATAAATTCACAATATATATTTAAATAGAAAAAAGCATGTTGAAATTCTATATACAATATGATCCATATTTTATAAAAGAATATGCCTATTGAAAATAAAGCTTAGAAGGTTGTACACCAAAATTTTCATACTGCTTGTCTCTGAGTACTGGGATTGCATGTTATGTTATGTTAGTTCTCACATTGCTATAAAGAACTACCGGAGACTGGGTAGTTTATAAAGAAAAGAGGTTTAATGAACTCATGGTTCCACAGGCTGTATAAGAAACACAGTTGGGAGGCCTCAGGAAACTTAAAATTATGGAAGAGGGGCAAAGGGGAAGCAAGCATCATTACATGGCGAATGAGAAGAGAGAGCAAAGGGGGAGGTGCTACACACTTTTAAACAACGAGATGTACCGAGAATTCACTCACTGTCACAAGAACAGCAAGGGAGAAATCCCCCCCATGGTCCATCAACCTTAGATTTGGGTGGGGACACAGAGCCAAACCCCTATTATTTCACCCCTGGTCTCTCACCCAAATCTCATGACCTTCTCACATTTCAAAACATAATCACATGTTAATTATAATGTTGATTTTTTTTTTTTTAACCTTCTGGGCTTTTCCCAATTTTTTACAATCAACATGTTGTTCAGTAAACAATAACAACCACCCTAAAATGTGATTTTTTTTTTTTTTTTTTTTAAAGTCAGGGAGTGATGTTGGGCAGAAATCAAGAAAATAAAAATCGGAATCATTCTAAAATTTTGTTTCCATTTCAAAATCACTTGTGTATAGGATTATTGAGGACCTAAACATTCAAGCAGAAAGGTAAATGACCCCTGCCAGGAATCCTACTTGGAGAGATTATTGGCATGGGTACAAGGCTAAAGCAGCTGCCCTGTAAATCTCTAATCTGAACATAATCATAAAATAGTGTAGGGAAAAAAAAATTGGTGATGGATAACTCAGAACGACCTAAAAATACTTGTAGGGAAAGATAGAATGCTCAGAGGTTTACTGTAGAGCAAGATTAAATATTGTGAAATAGATCAATTTAGATCAATGAAAGCGTAAGGCAGATGAAGTGGGATGAAGTTAGGAGGGTAAACACTGGCTGAGGTCAAAATACAGAGAGAGGATAAAGATGTGTTTAAGTGGGTCGTTGGGTGATTGTGTCACTGATTGTTGAAATCTTCAGTTGCAGGGCATTTGCTTACTATTCATCTTATTTCTGCTCTTCTAGGATAAGAGGAGTGGTAGGCCTCCTTCCACTCCTTTTCCATGTTTGTGTTTAAGGTGCCAAGTTCATGTGGAAGTAGCACCTAGGCTTTTTCTGGAAGTCTGTTGGGGAGATGCAGAAGGAAGAAGACTGCTGGGCCAGTGGCCTAGAGACCAGATCTCAGTGCACTAGCAATATTGACATGACATTTGCAAGATGCTTTTTACTTTGCAGAGTGCTTTTCTATGTGCTCTCTCATGTGACCAGGCTCTGTGATGTCCCTGTTTTATTTCAGCATTCTCCTTTTTGGAGGTCACATAGTTAAGAGCTGTAAGTTCCACAAGGATGGGGACCACATCTGTCTTTCTGTTTGCCCAGCACCTAGCCCAGTGCTTGGCTCAAATTAGGTACTCAATAAGTGAACAAACTTTTCTCCAATTTCCTTCACTATTCTGTTTTGACTGGAAGGTAGTAGGATTCTCCCAGTTCACAGTTACAAACTCTTTACTTGGACGTAGCCTGAGCCTCCTCTATGTTTAACTCTTCTTCATTCTCCAGCGTATCGCACAGAAGAATGCCAGCCCTGGGTTTTGCCGGTAGTGAGGAAAGTGGAGCAGAAGATTGCTAATGACAATAGCCTAAACCACGAGTATCTGCCAATCCTGGGCCTGCCCGAGTTCCGGAGCTGTGCTTCTCGTCTTGCCCTTGGGGATGACAGTCCAGCTTTCAAGGAGAAGCGGGTAAGTTTTGGGTGAGGATGTATTTTCTCTTCAGAAATGGAAGGTAAAAAGAGTTGAGAATACAGTTTGTTTAAAGTGTTATGTCTATTGAACTGCCAATGAATAAGGGTTTCAGTAGTACGAGTTGAGGAACCTGATAGTGCAGATAATGTGGCCATGTACCAAGCACGGCCTCTTTACTTGTTCAGTTTTGCTCAGTAGATCATCAGATTTTAGCTACTGCATTTAAAGCCATCAGTGGAGATGCCAAGTAGAGAGAATTTAATGGAATGATAAAAAAAAGCAGGGTTCTAGATCCAACTCTGCCACTGCTTTTGATCATCGGCAAGTCATTTAGCCCTCTGGCCTCACATATGCATGTTAGAGAAAGACCACATAGTGCGAGCCTGTGATCCCATAAGGAGCACTTGAATAGGGAGTTGTTTAAGGGGCCTCTGAGTCCCCTGAAATTATATGCAGAATTTTGTGTGTACTTATTTCTGGGGAGAAGGTGCATAGCTTTTTATCAGATTTTCAAAAGGTGTCTGTGGCCCCCAGGGGTTCAGGAGCCACTAGTAGATGCTGTCTGAAGTCCCTGCCCGTTCTAATATTCTTTAATACTTCAACTGTTGATCTCAGCATCTATCATTTAAGTGCTTCCTGGTGTATATTCTAGTGTAACCAGAGACACATGAAGGAAGAACACATTTGGAAGTAGTCACAGTGAGATAGGCTGTATGTGGCAGGAAGTGGTATTGAACAGATTCTCAGTGTTGTAGGAATTCAGGGGGAGGGATACCTGTGAGGGCTGCAGATGGCACTTGAGCTAAACCTGAGAGAATGTGTGAATGAGGCCAGGACACTTGTTCTCAACTCTGGCTATATGTTAGTATTACTTGAGGAGTTTTTAAAAACAGTGTGTGATTGGACCCCGTGAACCCCATGCCAGGTCAGTTAAGTCAGAATTTGGAGGGCATCACCCTTCTCCCCTCTCTGTCACTCCCTTTCTTCTCCACCATGGGCGTATTTTTTAAACGCTCCCCAGGTGTTTCCAAAGTATAGCCAGGTTTGAGAATCGCAAAATACGGAAGAGGGGCAAGAGGAAGCATATCCATTTTGAATGGTAGGAGTCCAGGGACAGAGGTAAGAGCTAAGCATGTCTAGGTTTTAAAGAGACCTACCTGATTAGAGCTGGGAACGTGTTGGACAGGTTAGGCAGGCTGATTCTGGCGGCCAGGGCAGAAGCCAACTGAAGGTTTGAGCAGAGGAGTTACCTAATAAAAGTGTTGTTTGAAGAAGATAAGCCTGATTGGGTGGGTGGGAAAGGGAAGAGCTCAGGTATTTGCACTAGTCCAGTTGGGAATGGTACAGTTTAAATCAGTGGCCCTTATTGTTCCCCTTGGTCAGTGTTGTGTTGTAGCCTGAAGTTCATGCATTGAGGGGACCGCATCTTGGAGTCATCTGATTTATTTGCCACATGCTGTGTCTGGTAGGTTTTTCTTTTGTATATCATGTTACCCAGATGCCCTGATAATCAGAACGGCAGAGTACAATGAAGGTTGCCCACACGTACATTTGTACATGTACTAAAAAGCAGAGAAGGCCCTGGTGAAGGTCTTGGGACTCAGGTCCATGATTAGGCAGGTAATGAATTTGATTAAGGTTTTGTCTGGATTGGAATGAGAGACTATGATTTGCCTCAAAGAACTGAAGGCATATGGTTAGAATAAATTTGCTTTCTGTAGTGGGAGAGAAAGGTTAAAGTTAAAAGTTGAGCACAGGAAATGAAAAATTCTGCCTGGGGATGTTTCCACTGGTATCTGTATACATCTGTCATGTTTCCAGAAGTTAAAACCACATTCAAGGGAAGTCTTGCTCATTTGCATAGGAAGTATTAGCACTCGAGAGTGGCTTAGATGTCTGAAATGTGAAGTCATTTATGAAATTGACATTCAACTTAGCTGGATAACAAATCCATAAAAAACAAATGCACATTTGTGTTGTATCATCTTAGTAGCAATTTGCATAAAGAATGCAGGTAGACCACATGTGGAGGCAAAACTTAAAGTAATAGCAAGGTATGAGTGCTCAGTGAGGGTCACTGTAAAGAACAGAGAAGTTAGCACACCAAATCTGGCATACACTGACCATTTTCACCCCAGTGCACGGCCTTTGCTTCTCTCTGTAATGTAGAGCTGTGTTTAGTTGTGCATCTCCTTGAATGACAACTTTGCTTATGTTTCACATTTCAGGTAGTATTCTTTCACAGATGCTCACCCCTATATATATAAATAGAATATTGGTGAATAGTAGTGGCAAAATTGGTATTATTGCCTTGTTTCTGGCTTAAATGGGATTTCTGCTATTTTTTTTGTGAGATGGAGTCTTGCTCTGTCGCCCAGGCTGTAGTACAGTGGAATGATCTCGCTCCTGGCATCCTCTGCTGCCAGGGTTCAGGCGATTCTCCTGCTTTAGACTCCTGAGCCACCATGCCTGGCTAATTATTTCGTATTTTAGTAGAAACGGGGTTTCATCATGTTGGCCAGGATGGTCTCCATCTCCTGACCTCGTGATCCACCCGCCTTGGCCTCCCAAAGTGCTAGGATTACAGGCATGAGCCACCGTGCCTGGCCGATTCATTGTTTTTAAGCAGACTATGGGTTAAATGCATTTTTTCAGTCATTTTCAGGAAGTATCCATTGTTTCCTGTTTTACTAAGCATTTATCTCAGGAATAGCTAAGCTTTTCTTATCAGTTGTGATGATCATTTGGGTTTTCTCTATCTAGCAGCTTGACAAATTTTATATCTTTTATAATCCATTCTTGGGATGACTCTCAATCAAGGTGGTAATTTTAATGTACTGCTGGATTAATACTGTTCATTAATATTTACTTGGGAAGTTAGTAAACATTTGTTTAGGAAGTATTGGCACTCAAGAGTGGCTTAGATATCAAGATACTTGAATGAGCTAGGTCTCTCATTCTGCTTTTTTCCATTTTGTTATCTTTTAACATCAATGTTATGTTAGGTTCTTAAAAAGATTTAGGAAACTTTTCTTCTCTAAGAAGAGTTTTAAAACCTTCTTATTACAGAAAATTTCAAATCTATGTGAAAGTAGAGAAAACAGTATGAAGAATGAATTCCTATATATCCATCACCTAGCTTCAACAATTATCTCTATATGGTCAATTCTGTATATTTCCCTCTACCCACTCCCAGCCTCCCTGCCCTCTATCAAAGCTGGATTATTTTATAGTAAATCCCAGACATCTAATAGGTGTTTTGAATTTTGTAAAATTGTATGACTACATGAATACATTCATTTTATTTTTAAAAAAACAACTTATAGGTTAGGCCAAAGTCCCTTTCGACCACTATTTCTACATCCTTGGATCCCTCCCCAGAGGTTGCCACTGTTAGGAGATTGGTGTGTGTCCATCCTTGTATTTATTCATTTATTTGAGACAGAGTCTTAACTCTGTTGCCCAGGCTGGAGGGCAGTGGTGAGATCCTGGCTCACTGCAACCTCCACCTCCCAGGTTCAAATGATTCTCATGCCTCAGCCTCCTGAGTAGCTGGGATTACAGGTGTGTGCCACCATGCCTGGCTAATTTTTTGCAGAATCGCTTCAACCTGGGAGGTGGAGGTTGCAGTGAGCTGAGACCACACCACTGCACTCCAGCCTGAGCAACAGAGCAAGACTCCATCTCAAAAAAAAACAAAAAACAAATAAATAAAAATGAGAGGAAGCCAAGGAGAGAAAGGAAGGTAGTATTTATGCATCACCTCTGTTTTGTTAGATCATACTTCTAAGGAAGAATAAGCCTGAATTCTAGAGATGAGTAGCACAGATTGATGTCAGTGACAAGCTAGGAACACTGTTTTAGAGACTTATGCTAGAGGGAAAGTTTGATCTCAAAATGGGTGCTGAAGATATGGGTTTGCCTCTTAAGGTATGTGTGCCCACACATGCACACACGCACTAATGTGGCCTTATTGTGTCCTCTATGTCTGTGGTCAGAAGGGAAGCTCCCTCTAACGTCAGACCTCCTGGTTTGAAGACCAGTGCTCCGGCTCAGTAGCTGGTAACTTTGAGCAAGGTTCTTCACCTCTCTCAGTCTTGGTTTCCTATTTCTTCTCTTTCAGGTAGGTGGAGTGCAGGGTTTGGGGGGAACAGGTGCGCTTCGGATTGGAGCTGAGTTCTTAGCGCGATGGTACAATGGAACAAACAACAAGGACACACCCGTCTATGTGTCCTCACCAACCTGGGGTGAGTCTTTTTGCTGAAGTGAGAGGAAAAACAGAAACCAGAGAGAATGATCCTCATGACTCTCCCTGGTTACCCAGAAAATGTAATACAGCCCTGGAACAACTGGTGTTTGGGAATGGCTTGAACAGTGTTTATGGCAGTGCATGAGAAACCTGCTCAAAATCAGATTAAGAATATTCTTTCTGAAGAGGCTTGGTAGACTTGTATCTGCCAAGGCTATGTTGAAACTCCCCAGAGGAGGCATAGAATGTAGATGTAGGAAGTATCATTGTAGTAGGAGACATGTCTGGCATTGATGTGACTGGTTGAATTTGTTCTTGGTTACAATCATTCTACATTTTAACCCTCAGCCTTGATGATGCCCAGTGACATTGTGCCTGGGAGGGCCTTGAAAGCTGACTTGCCTCCTTTCCATTCGTGCCTCCTAGTGTTTGTAAAAGTGCTTAACTTTTTACTCCTTTGCTTGCAGAGAATCACAATGCTGTATTTTCTGCTGCTGGTTTTAAAGACATTCGTTCTTATCGCTACTGGGATGCAGAGAAGAGAGGACTGGACCTCCAGGGCTTCCTGAATGATCTGGAGGTGGGTGCTTTAGAGGAAAAAGTAGAGAGAATTGCATGGTGTCAGGAACAGCAGGCAAAGTCTTTGGACCAGTTGCTAAGTGAGAGTCTGAGACACCTTTGCCATACCAGATTGTGGTTTCTGACATAGCATGTAGGAGAAAGGGCACAAAGGAGACATGAAAAAGTGATATGAATATGGTTGCTCTTTGTCATCCATCACTGACCAGTCTGCTGCTGACTGTGTCTCCCAGTATTCCCACCAGTATCAGGCTGACATAGCTTCCTTCTCCTCAGAATGCTCCTGAGTTCTCCATCTTTGTCCTCCATGCCTGTGCACACAACCCAACTGGGACTGACCCAACTCCGGAGCAGTGGAAGCAGATTGCTTCTGTCATGAAGGTAACTGCCCCTTCAGAGTATCTCTTTAAAAAATAGTGTGTATTCTTATTTAATATATTCAGAAGCCATACCTGTTTGTTGTTTGCTGAGGAATTTGGAAAATGGAGAAAAGTCCAAAGAAGAAAGTAAATATTAACTGGAAAGTTTATTGCCTAAAGAAAGACAGTGTTAATGTTTGGTAGATAAAATATCAGACTTTGTGTGTGTGTGTGTGTTAGTTTTGTGTGTGTGTGTGTTAGTTTTGTGTATATGTTTTATGTTTTACAAAGATAAAATCATTTTGTCTTTACTGCTTTTGTAACACAATTTATTTTTCATTTGTACTTCTTTATATACATGTCATTGAATATTTTGCAACATCATTTTTTGTAGCTATATTATATTCCTTTCATGGATCTGTCATATTAGGGATTGGATAAATCATCTGATGAATATTTAGGGTTACTTCAGATTGTTTGATCTGATGAACAATTATGTAACGAAACTTCTTTTTATCATTTCTTTGGCATAACTTTCTAGATGGGAATTCCTAGCTGAAAGTGTGTGTATTCTTCATTAATGAGGCACTATGGGAATATAGTAGTGAACACAGCAGATGCAGTCCCTACCCTCAGAGACAGACAGGCTGTTTGGGGAGATGGACTAGTACTAAGGCAGCTGCAATACTGTGAGATAGCTGTGTTGACGGCGTTATATGGGGCTACATAGCCCAGACTTTGGGCAGTGTTCATGTGGGGATTGGCGGGGGGTGGTGGGTGGTGGCAGGAGCTTTCCTGGAAGAAGTGGTTTCCATGTTGAGTCCTGTAGGTTGGGGAGGAGTTAAAGTATCAACAGACAGGTTGGCAGGGAAGGGATGTGCTCTGCAGGGGGCAGAGAATGGTCAGAAGCCCCAGGCAGAGATCATGGGGAGTGTGTGTGATGAGGCTAGAGTGAATAGGGGCGGGCCCTGCACTGAGGCTTGGACTTTATTCTCAGGGCAGTGGAAAGCCACTGAAATCTTGGATTTGGGAGTGACATGATCGGATGTTCATGGTCTTAAGGTCAGCCTGATACCATAGCAGGGAATGGATCAGAGAGAGGCAAGACTAGACAGGCTGTGGGAGTGGTTAGGAGGCTGTTGCCATAGTCCAGGTAGGAGCTGATAGTGATGGCCTGGAGGAAGTAGGTGGCATTGGGGACAGTGAGATGCAAAAGGATTTGGGAACTCTGAAGAGACAGACTGATAGGACTTGTGGCGTGCCAGGATGTGGGTGATAAGCTGCAGAGGTAGGAGTCCAGATACCTCCCAATCCCACCCAGTCAAGATACACCCAAGAGATGGGAATCAATGTACAACCAAAGGCTTGGACAGTTCCTGGGAGGGAAGTGGTGTCCACTCAGAGAGAGCCCAGCAGTAGAAGCAGGTTCCCTGTGGAGAGCTCTTTGAGGAGATGATGAGTGACAAGAATAGAGGCTACTCTCTGCTCCCTTCCTCTTGAGTACCTAATAGAATAGCCCGAGGTTGTGAGGAGCCCTGGGGATACCAAGCCAACGCTTGACTAAGGTTCTCACACCAGGAATTCAAGGAGGAGAATCCACCAGCATAGAACATTGCCTCCTTACGTCAAAAGTAAACCCTGTTAGCAAAGCTGAATCAGGACACTCTAGGACAAGGTACTTTTAAAAAGTAAAGTTTACAAAAAAGGTTGTTGGTTATAGAGAGAAACGGATGTAAAGTGGTGTTTGGGTGCATAAAGTCAAGAAATAGGAGAAATGGACAGCGTTTGAAATTCTCTCCAGGCATCAGCTGGGGAAGTAAGGCCGGTGTCTGAGGTTGGTGCCAGAAGGATTTCCTGCCCTGACTCACTTTGCTTCCTCGCAGCACCGGTTTCTGTTCCCCTTCTTTGACTCAGCCTATCAGGGCTTCGCATCTGGAAACCTAGAGAGAGATGCCTGGGCCATTCGCTATTTTGTGTCTGAAGGCTTCGAGCTCTTCTGTGCCCAGTCCTTCTCCAAGAACTTCGGGCTCTACAGTGAGTGCTCTCCCGAGGAGTTACAGCCCCATCTCCCCACATCACTCCTTGTTTTGGCAGCCACAGCTGATTCTGGTCCCTCTCTTTAGATGAGCGAGTCGGGAATCTGACTGTGGTTGGAAAAGAACCTGAGAGCATCCTGCGAGTCCTTTCCCAGATGGAGAAGATTGTGCGGATTACTTGGTCCAATCCCCCCGCCCAGGGAGCACGAATCGTAGCCTGTACCCTCTCTAACCCTGAGCTCTTTAAGGAATGGTAAGAGGCTCCCAGCCTGGTGGGCTGGGATGGGGGAGTGCAGAACAGTAATTGTCCCAGTACATTTAACTGGGTCTCTTCCTTTCATTTTGGCAGAAGCAGGATAAAATTACTTTAACTTCCTTGACTCTCAGATATTTGTAAAATGGGTTGATACCTACCTCACATGTGCATAACACAACAATGGGAACAGAGGAGGGGGCACTTAGTGAATGGTAGTTTTCCTCCATTTCCCCTCCACCCAGTCTTCCTCCCCATAAAGTTGGAAAACCTAGGAAGGTATTCCCAACAGAATAGAATATCCAATGACAAGGCAGTTTAACAGTTTGGGAGCTCTTGGTTTTTATCCATAATTTACATACATTTTATCTTACTTTAGAACGGAGTTATTTTTATATAATTGCTAAATCTGCAATCTCTATTTAATAAGACCTGATACAACATATTACCCTATTAATGTCTATATCAGCACCTTAGTAAAGCCTGAGTTGAAACATGAGTGTATTATAGCCAGTATACTCAAGACTAGCACTAGACTCCACTAGTAATACAGTCTTTTCCTTCTGCCTCCTAAGTCTTCGGTATGTTCATCCACCCATCCAGACATCAACACACCGTAATAGGCAGGTTGTGATCCCATTGTCAGCTATAGTTTAAATTGTGTTTTTTAAACCTATGCATTTTTGAGTACTATCTTTCCTGTCTGGATTGATACTTATGTTGCTGTCCTAAAGGACAGGTAATGTGAAGACAATGGCTGACCGGATTCTGACCATGAGATCTGAACTCAGGGCACGACTAGAAGCCCTCAAAACCCCTGGGACCTGGAACCACATCACTGAGCAAATTGGCATGTTCAGCTTCACCGGGTTGAACCGTAAGTGCCCCCTATCCCCCACTTGCAGTGCCTGTGTGCATGTAGACACACAACATTCCTTTCAGTCGCTGGCCTTGAACTCACCTTCATGGCCTTTGTCTAACTGGGCAGCCATTGCTTTGGACCAGGACAAGTTAGGTTTTCTTAGGGTGTCCCACCAACTCATAAACTCTTTGGGTCTCAGAAGAGTATTGTTGTGTTCTGCCCTGCTGACCCACAGCCAAGATATTCCCATTTTTGTGGGCTGGGAAGTGGGTCAGAGCCAGCTAGGAGGTAACAGGATTGGTAGCTGGGAACCTTAATTTATGAAAAGTTCTATAAATGCTCAGGCATATTTTGGCTTTGCCTTAATCCTGAATATAAATATGTATGATTAGGCCGGGCGTGGTGGCTCAAGCCTGTAATCACAGCACTTTGGGAGGCCGAGGCGGGTGGATCACGAGGTCAAGAGATCGAGACCATCCTGGTCAACATGGTGAAACCCCATCTCTACTAAAAAATACAAAAAATTAGCTGGGCATGTTGGCGCGTGCCTGTAATCCCAGCTACTCAGGAGGCTGAGGCAGGAGAATTGCTTGAACCCGGGAGGCGGAGGTTGCGGTGAGCCGAGATCGCGCCATTGCACTCCAGCCTGGGTAACAAAAGCGAAACTCCATCTCAAAAAAAAAAAAAAATGTATGATTATTCAGAGATCTGATTTCTTAACAGGTCTTTCCTATTTCTAGGTATTATCCTCAAAAAGAGGTTACAAAGTTATCTCCGATTTCATAAACAAGAACCTAGATTGGTGGTTGGAATTAAAAGCTTATTGAAAATCTAGTAGGCGGTCATGCATGATCTTGGCCAGTTGTCGGTAGGGCATATCTGCCATCTACATCCCATCTGATGACAGAAGAGTCATTTCTATTTTAATTTTTATTTTTTTAATTTTTGAGATGGAGTCTCGCTCTGTTGCCCAGGCTGGAGTGCAGTGGTGTGATCTCGACTCACTGAAATCTCCGCCTCCTGGGTTCAGGCAGTTCTCCTGCCTCAGCCTCCCGAGTAGCTGGGTTTACAGGAGTAATTTCTTCGGAATATCATTCTACAGGAATTACTTACTGTAATTCCCTCAGTGCAGATATGGCCGCTCACCTTTGTGTCCCAGTGACTCTGGGGGCGGGGGGCGGAGGGGCAGGGACAGAGTGTGTGGCTGGGTTGGTTTGTAGGTAGAACATCAGAGGCCTTGGGGAGGTATTGAACTGGGGCCATCACAGTGCCAGTGTGAAGTGGGTTCAGAAAAAGGCAAAGGAAATAAATATAAATGAGAGTTAATAGAGATTGTATTGTGGTCCCCTCAAAATCCTTTGGGGTAAAATGAGGCTACCTAAGAAAGTAAAGAAATAGCTCAGTTAGCTGTAGGTATCCTCATGACTGGAATGGAGAATTAGTTCACTCACAATTATGAAAATATAAGGTGTAACAGAAATATTAATAGTTTTTAATAGTAATATTCTAAAAGCTCACAATACGGGAATGTCTCCCCATAAAATATCCATATTTTCCCATTATCCTCAGGAGGAAATTAGTTTTATTAATGTTATGAATTGGAAAAATGAGAATAGAACTGTGCTTATAACATAAAAGTTTTATTTTTAGCACTTGACATCATTTGCTGTTATTAAAAACAGGAGTTTTGTTTTCCTCCCAATTTTTTTCTTTTTGAGACAAGAGTCTTGCTCTGTTGCTCAGGCTGGAGTGCAGTGGCACAATCTTGGCTCACTGCAACCTCTGCCTCCTGGATGCAAGCGTTTCTCCTGCCTTAGCCTCTCAAGTAGCTGGGGGCTACAGGCATGAGCCACCACACCTGGCTAATTTTTGTATTTTTAGTAAAGACAGGATTTTACCATGTTGGCCAGGCTGGTCTTGGACTCCTGACCTCAGGTGATCCACCTGCCTTAGCCTCCCAAAGTGCTGGGATTATAGGCATGAGCCACCGCACCTGGCCTTTTTTTTTTTTTGAGACAGGATCTTGCTCTGTCACCCAAAGTGGAGTGTAGTGGTGCAGTCTGGGGTCACTGCAACCTCTGCCTCCTGGGCTCAGGTGATCCTTCAGGTGGAGGGTCAGCCTCTGAGTGGTTGGGACCACAGGCATGAACCACCATGCCCGGTTAAATTTTTGTAGATACGGGGTTTCGCCATGTTGCTCAGGCTGGTCTCAAAACTCCTGAGCTTAAGTGATCTGCCCACCTCAGTCTCCCAAGGTGCTAGGATTACAGGTGTGAGCCACCACACCTGGCTGGAAAAATTTAAAACATACAGAAAAGTTGGAGGAATTGTACAGTGAACCCCCATATACCTGCCACCTAGTTTCTGTAATTCTACGTTATAATTCTTCCTTTGTTATCTTTTCTTTGTCAGAATGGGGCTTTTAACCTGGAGTCCCTGGATGTACTTTAGGAGAACTATGAAGCCTCTGAAATTATGTTTTAAAAATTGCATATGTATATTTTGGCCTTACCCTAGGGAAAGAGTCCGTAACTTCTACTAGCTTTTCAAACTGTGACATTACCCTCCTTCCAAAAAGTAGAAAGGCCTCATTTTTGTTAAAACAAAACCAAAAACCAGGATAGGAGCCCTTTAATCACTGCCTCAGGGCACAGGCTTTTAGAAACAGTGGTACACCTAGGGCTGTGTTGGCTTGAGGCTCTGTCCCCTCGGGTGACCAATTCACACAGGTAAACCACTTCTGAAGCTTGCTTTATTTGTTCGTTCATTCGTTCGTTGTTTGAAGGGGTCAAAGGAAAACTTCCCCTTGGCTCTCTGAAAGTTCGTTGGAAATCAACTGACAAAAGCACATTAATAGGAGAAAAGGCATACAAATTTATTTATTTATTTTTGAGGCAGTCTTACTATGTTGCCCAGGCTGGAGTATAGTAGCATGATCATGGCTCACTGTAGCCTTGACCTACCAGGCCTAAGCAATCCACTCACCTCAGCCTTCCTAGTGTCTGGGACCACAGGCATGTGTCATCACACCCGGCTAATTTTTAAGATTTTTGTGTAGAGACAAGGTCTCCTTATCATGCAGTCGTCCCTCGTCAACTTCCCTAAGTACTTGGATTATAGGCATGAGCCACTGTGCCTGGCCAGCATGCAAATTTATTAACCTGCAGAGGTGTCTTACAAAGTAGAACTCAAATAAATGGCCAGATAATTGATGCTTTTATACCATACCATCTTGGGGTTACAGAAAAATGGGAGCTTGGAGCTTGGCGAAACAGGTTTTGGCAGGCAGAGAAGAGCAGGCCTGGCTAGCAAAGGTGCTCTTATTATGTTATGTAGATAAGTCACAGGTAGCAGCCCTCACAGAAAATAGCTGGTAAAGGTCTGTTCCTTTAAGACCTTTAAAGGCATCAGACTCTCAGTTAATCTCCCCAAGATCTGGACAAGGGAGGGCCTCAGAGAAAGCCTAGGTACAGCCATGCAGCTTTTCTCTACAAATACAAATCTCTCTCACAAAAGACAGCTTTGCAGGGCTACTTCTGTATGTAGGGCCTCTGAATGGCCATCTCAAAATATGTCCAAGAATATTTTGGGGTGAACTATTTTGGTTTCCTTCAAGGAGCATGTGGGCAGCACTGAGTCCAGGGTCCAGATTTTTCACTTCCGTAGAGAGGCAGTGTAGCGTTACGGTGTACAGCCTGGACTTAAAATCCTGCCTTAAAATCCCACATCCACCACTGACCAGCTGTGTGTCCTCCGAAGGCCAGTTAACATCTTTAAGGCCTATCTGTAAAACGGGCATGATAAAGTTATCAGGGTGAACTAAGATGCAGTGCTTAGAGCACTGCCTGGTACCTAGTGTTTGCTCCTCAGATTTTGATGATTTTATGATTATTATTCCATTTCCTCAAGCTGGTGGTATCTTAAAGGTACTGATAACTTGGGCAAAAATTCACTAAAATTCTTTTTTTGTTTGTTTGTTTGACTGGGTGACATTCTCATTCTGCCACCCAGGCTGGAGTGTAGTGGTATGATCTCAGCTCACTGCAACTTCCTCCTATCGAGTTTCAAGCAATTCTCTTGCCTCAGCCTCCAGAGTAGCTGGGACCATAGGTGCACACCACCACTCCTGGCTAATTTTTGTATTTTTAGTAGAGACTGGGTCTTGCCATGTTGGCCAGGCTGGTCTTGAACTTCTGACCTCAGGTGATCCACCCGCCTCGACCTCCCAAAGTGCTGGGATCACAAGCGTGAGCGAGATTCACTAAAATTCTATAAATGGATTTGCCAAAAAGCAAAACTGCTCTAGAGACTGTTTTGTATAAAGGAGGTACAGGTGGTCTCTTACTCATATATGATGCATTTCTGCAAGCATGGAAAAACCCTGCTGTATCTGAGAGAGAGTTGAGAAATGAACAGAAGTCTGATGGTGCCAGGTTGGAGAGGTCTGTGTTGTTTCTCAGCTGCATTGGACAAAGCCCCATTGATCAGGTCAGGCATGGGGCCTTGTCCAAAGTATTGTAAAAATGAGAAAAACGGGAAGCTGCTGCGGGTGCTCAGTGCAAGTCCATGTTAAGGAAGAACTAAAGGAAGCCTTTCAGAGCCAGCGTTTTATATTGCTGGAGGGTTCTTACATCTGATGGTTGTTTTTATTGATAGGGGTGTCCTAGTGGATGTAATGTATAAGGTAATCTCAGATTAAAATTCCCATCAGTAGTAGCCATATTGAATTTTCTGGGGATTTGAAGGTGAACTAATAAGAGTACTTTCCAGAATCTAGTGAGTATATTTTTCTGCTTGTCAGTTGGACAAAATAGTACCTTTTGTTTTGCTTCTCTCTGTTAAGGGTAAAGAATGAAAACTGAAATTGTCACATAATTGCTCAGCCTCTACTGCTTAAGGATCCCCTTTGCTCTGATTATGTCTTCTTTTGGTTTTCAACAGCCAAGCAGGTTGAGTATCTGGTCAATGAAAAGCACATCTACCTGCTGCCAAGTGGTCGAATCAACATGTGTGGCTTAACCACCAAAAATCTAGATTATGTGGCCACCTCCATCCATGAAGCAGTTACCAAAATCCAGTGAAGAAAAACCACCCATCCAGTACCACCAAAGTAGTTCTCTGTCATGTGAGTTCCCTGCCTGCACAAACCTACATGTACATATCACAGATCAGAGACTCTGGCAGGATTGAAAGGCTGTTCTGGTGAGGCAGCCTCTGTTTAAACTGGCCCCACATGAAGTGAACATCCCTTGAGACGAATTTGGACGCTGGGATTAGAGCCTTTGGAGGTCAAAGCAAATTGAGATCTTTGTTGAAGAATAAAAGAGTACTTTGATCATGAGACATGGGTGTTTTGTCCCCCTCACTAAGAAGCAGTAGTGTTGCGTGTGGTGACCACATGCTTCTACATGGTGTTTGACTCTGTACAAAGTCTGGTCCCAAAGATCAAGTCGTCTGAAGGAGCCAAAGTACAAATGTGGGTGTTGGCTGTGGCATTAAACTCATCATCTCAACCCAGAGTGTCTGGTCTCCCTGCTCTTTCTGCATGGTTGTGTCCCTAGTCCTGCACTTTGGTTCTTCAGGGTGACTGTGGTAAGAAAGATATTTAATCATGACATGCACAGACACACACATATTTAACAGAAACAGAAGTTTCACCAAACAGTATTTACTTGTGCTGTGTATAGTGCATTCTGATATTTTTGAGTCCTTTCTATTGTGTTCTACTTCATCTAAAAAAATAAAATAAAAATGCTGATCAAGACCCATGGAGTTGATTTTGTGACCACTAATGGGTTGTGATCCACAGTTTGAAATGAATGCTTTAGATGGTTTTACTAGTGGCTAAAGGAAAAACTACAATGTATTTTTTTTTTGAGACGGAGTTTTGCTCTTGTTACCCAGGCTGGAGTGCAATGGTGCGATCTTGGCTCACCGCAACCTCCGCCTCCTGGGTTCAGGCAATTCTCCTGCCTCAGCCTCCTGAGTAGCTGGGATTACAGGCACGCGCCACCATGCCCAGCTAAATTTTTGTATTTTTAGTAGAGACGGGGTTTCACCATGTGACCAGGCTGGTCTCGATTGCAGTGTATTCTTATAATGTAGCTTCCTTCAGTGAACTCACCATATCATAATTCCGTGGCCATTTTGCGGGCTTGTCATTTGGAGGCCAACCATTTCTTCATATGTTACTTAAAAAACTGGACTTCTTGGACTTGTGAGAGGGGATGACATCGCTCAGGTGGTTCTGACACACCAGCCTGTCCCCTGCTGTCAAGAGTCCCTCCTGGTTTATTGAAGCAATTAGAACCATGTCAACATAGATCAAATTTCCAGAGTCCAAGGGCTGTTCCAAGTGGCTGTTTTGTAGAATTTAATGGGGCTGGACGTTACTTAAAACAAGTTGTCTCTTATTTGGAGTTTCTTAATATTTAAAGTTAGTTCTTGTGATTTTAATAGGATCTGCCACTTTCTAGGACTTGTTTCGGTTGTTATAAAATCCTACAGTCCTGAAGGATGGCTGGGGTCTTAGAAGTCATCAAGTCTTGCCTCTCTCCCAGTGAAATAGTCTCTCCCATATTGTCTCTGACTCATCAATTTCAACTGGTGGGGTGGTGGTGGTGATGGGTTCTTTAAATACTTGGTGAGGCATCCCATTCTGCTGGTGGAGCCTCTTAATTAAAAAAAAAAAAAGAGGCTCATTTATCTTTAACTCATGGTAAAAGTTCATCTATATTGAACCAGAATTTGATCTTTGTCCCACTCCCCTGCCCCTCCTTCCTTCCTTTAAATGACAGCTAGTAAATCTACTGGCACTTCTAATCTACCACCTTTCAAATATTTGAAAGAGGTAGTTGTTATTCCTTGTTTATACTTTTCCATGTGAACTGCCTCTCCCCCACCATTTTTGTTTCTGCACAGGATGTGGTTTCCAGATCTTTCCCTGTCTGGCTCGAGCCCCGGGAGTCCTTCCGAGGGCACTCTCTGCAAATGTGTGGTGGGCTGCTGGAAGTAAATGAGTGAATGTGATTAGATGTCCTCCCACCCATCTCTTCACAGCCTTTTGAACAAATCAGTCCTTGTTCTTCCAATGTAAATATCCTTGTCATTAATAAGGGAAGGCAGCCAATATGGAAGTTGAATGATTCTACCTTCTGTTAATCTGCCATTCTCTCCAGACACTTTAAACCACTCATTCTCCATGGGACAATACTGCCTCCATAGGGACAAAAATTGGTTTTTTGGGGGCAAAAGAAGCCTGAAATACTAAAATGTTTATAGCCTTCCAAAGTGCAACCCTACCTGATAATCTTATTTCTCAGTATTTATCTTGTTAGGGAAAATTAAAATTTTCTCTTTAGGGGAGTGCCAAAACCATTAAAGATAAACAGATCTCTGAACCTAAGTGACAGTACCAAAGTGCTAAAATGTTTTTAGCACTTGAAAAAAGCCCATCTCAATGGGAATCTGGCCTTCTTAGTTCTATTCTGACTTGGTCAGTGTGGCCCCACTGCGTTCACTTGAGAAAGTGTTCTGTGTGAGTTTGGTAAGCTAGCAGGACTCCTCAGGGTCTCTAACATGTCAGTGAACTTCAGAGGTGGGATTGTTTCACAAATTTTGCCCAGTCACGAGCAGGGCACTTGGACCTCCAGGCTCTGCCAGTTCCCAGGTATGTGACCTTGAGCAAGTCACCCCACCTCACAGACAGTAACCCCTCCACAGGGTGTGAGAAAGAAATGAGCTAATGGGTACTTAGCACAATACTTGGAACATAAAGCCCTTGGCAAAAAAGTTGTTTCCATCGTGTATTATTACCGTTAGTGAAATGAATAGCCTCTACTGAGGTTCCTAAGAACCTTAAGAGGTCCTGGCATAGGCCTCTAATCCTGTGTGCTTTGAGAAATTAGTAGTAGGTGTCAGATTTCGGCCTTCCTTCCACATAGGCATCAAACACCCAAACACATCTTCCCACCTGCCTGGCTGTTCCCTTCCTCCAGCATCGGCTTAAAATTGACGAACAGCCCTGGCCCATTCTTGTGTTCCATTCCCTAGCCTTTGGTTGCAAACCGTGAGTCATGCCACTGTACTTCTTTCCGAAGGGTCTGCAGAAGTGAGCTAGTGTAACCAGCATATTTTATCAAGGACTTGTCTGGGTTTAGCCTTCAAGACCTTGAATTTGGATGGCACCCAGCACAGCCCCTCACCCATCACATGGCTTCAACAAATGCCAGCCCTCCTCACTGTCATCTTAGTGCTCCTTGTCTTTATGCACACTGGCTTCTCATTTGGCTTTTACTTCTCATTTCTGTCATTTACTCTTGCAAAATCTTACCATCTGGCCTCCCAGAGTATGTGCCAAGGCTTCCCTGTGATCTCACTGCAGCCTCACACCTGGCCTGGAGCGGCATGCCTCTTCAGGCAGGTGGGCCACAGGTGAGATCATTACACGTGGGCATCACTCTACCTGCATCTCAAATGAAGCCACTTCAGAAGATTCCAGAGGCAAAGAAAACAGCCACATTCCAGGAAAGGCATTTTCATTTTATTTAAAAATTATTTACAATTTATTGAGCCTTCATAAATGCTTTATCTTAAATTTTTTTTTAACTTTTTTAACCTGAAGAAAGTCTTTGTGGGTGAGGGTGTAGAGGGAGGGGAGTGGTGACAGGCTTCTTAGGGATTTTGCAAAGGGATGGGTGTAATGCAACAGCAGTGGCTTGAGCCTAGTGGCCTCAGGGGTGATGAAGACCAGCTGGGCAGGCACCCCTGGGGCCAGTGGCCAGCTGGGCAGGAAGCCTGCATGATGATAGTTCTTGCTCAGAACTCACCATTTATTGGTTTGGGTCTAGGTACCCAACACTGAGGGCTGACACTTCCCTATTCCTACCAGGCAAGAGCAGGTGTTGGGACTGGATGGCTGTGAAGTTATCTATGAGAAGACATGCACTGCTGCAGCCTCAGGCTGGACCGGGCAAGGAGTGTGCTGAAGTCAATAATCACTGCTGAAAAGGCATCTCTAGCTCCAAAGTCTTTACTTACGCATGCTGTGGCCCTCCTGTCTGCAACACCTGCTCTGGGTTGTTGGGGAATAGGAGACAAAAGTTTATGTGGGGGGTGGGGGTGTAGGTTGTACAATACTCTAGGGTGTGCCAAGAATTTCTGAGGACTTCCACTTCTTGGTGGGTGCCAGCCTTCCCCACCAATTGATGGACACTTGAGACCATTTAAAATTAAAAACCCATCTCAAACTGCCCAGTATCCACTTCACTCTGCATTGCAGAAACCCTGGGCTGAAAGTTCCACTATTTAAAATAGTGGGGTTTTTTTTGTTTTTTGTTTTTTTCAAACTTTGTAGGTCTGAGACCTTTGAGAACCTTATGAAAGCTTTAATGCTCTGGAAAAAACATACAAGAATACACATATTAAATTCTGATAATTTTAGGGGTTTCGTAGACCCTCTGAAGTCCAACTATGGACGCCCTGGGGTGATGGACCCCAAGTTAAGAACCCCTGAGTTAAAGGTTCCTGTGGGTAAGCATTTTCTTTTGAGATGCAGATAACCCAGAGGAATGATCAATCTCCCTGCTCCCTGTGAATGATTGAATGCATGTGGGGAGGTAGGAGTGAGGGTTTTGGAGGAAGGGGAGGGAAGCTGGATGGTATACCACAAGGAAAGGTTTGGGAATGGTTTGGAGATTCTGTAGACAGCTCAACAAGTACCTGACTGAGCATCTAAAGGGTAGGAGATAGATCAGAAAGGGAGAGAAGTGTTCTGAAGACAAACTTCACTAATTCCAAGTTTTCCCTAAGGCTGGCTGTGTGTGTGTGTGTGTGTGTGTGTGTGTGTGTGTGTGTGTTTTGTTTTTTTTAAAATCTCGCTCTGTTGCCCAGGATGAAGTGCAGTGGTGTATTCTCAGCTCACTGCAACCTCTGCCTCCCAGGTTGAAGCAATTCTCCTGCCTCAGCCTCCTGAGTAGCTGGGACTATAGGAATGTGCCACCACGCCTTGCTAGTATTTTTTAGTAGAAGTGGGGTTTCATCACTTTACCCAGCCTGGTCTTGAACTCCTGACCTCAAGTGATCCACCTGCCTCAGCGTTCCAAAGAGTTGGGATTACAGGCGTGAGCCACTGCACCGGGCCTTGTGGTTGCTTTTCAGAGCTATTTTATTCTTGGTAGCGGGTATGTGCATTCACTCTGCCATCTGGTGGTAATGCTTGGGATTGCATCTGCCCCAACTTCCAGGAGAAAAACCAGTAAGTTCTTGGAATAATGTACACTCAGCTGATCTACTAGGGTGTAGTAAGGGGTGGGAGGGGGACAAATGCATGAAAAAGAAGAATGATTCTTCAACATTCCTGTGTAACTCCCTGAAGTCCCATGAAATAATGTATCTTTCTTGGCTGAGCTGGGCACTCTTCGGTTTGTCATGGCTAAACTTGCTTTCAGCACTTACAATTTTTCCATGTAAGTTTTGTTTTTTGCTTTGATTTGCACTTAAGACCTGAAGTTCCATCTCTGGCTCCCAATTGGGCCTCTCTGCTCCCTGTTTCTTCTCTTCCAGAGCAGATTTATTGATGAATTGATGACTGCTGATTGGGAACCAAAACAGATGTGTCCCTGGGAAAAACAGTGAATTGAGGTTCCATCTCACATTCTTTCCATTCCAGCTGAGACACACTTCCCCAGGCTGTTGGAACCCTTATCTAACAGGAAACCAGTCACTAACAGCTTTCTGTGCTGTAATGTCAATCACACGCCAACA